TTGCCCCATCTTCCTTCCGAGGAGTGGCTGGTGGGTTTGAACTGCCAGCCTTCTGGTTAGCAGTCAAGTGCGTTAGCCACTATGCTACCAGAGCTCCTATATTTCTTAAATTTTGTGCCTCCGCTAGACCATTCTAATTTAGCATTGATACTTAAGCACTTTATAGCCATTCACAAAAAGAATTAAGTTATCCCCTTTGAAACTGACAAAAATACAATTTATAACTTTTGTCTTTGGATAATTTTCATGATCTAATGGCACAAACAGAGTGCAATCAGCTGATAACCTAAAGGCTGGCGCCTGAAACCCACCCAGTCGCTCCACAGAAGGGAGGACTGTTGAACTGCTTCTGTAAAGGTTACATCCAAGAAAACCTTATGGAGCAGTTCTACCCCATACACGGCATCGCAGTGAGCCGGGCGCCGACTCAATGGCAGCTAACAATAAAAAAATATATATATATCTATTAATGGTTGAAAATACACAGATGTTAACAACCTTAAATTTCTAAGGTAAAAGAAAATATAATAATAAATATAAATATATGATAATAGGGTCACTGTGAGTTGCAATTCAACTTGATGGCAGTGGGTTTTTTACAGTTAAAGGACTGAGGGTGTTCTTTAAATGTTTAACATCAGAAGATATTCAAAATATACCAGTGGTGCTTCTGTAGTGTCCACAGCCTTAGCTCTCCCTAGAAAATGAAGTGTAAGTCACAGAAGTTCTTTACTTCTCTTAGTTGTATGGACATTAAAAAGAGAGAGCGAGAAATGGTAGGAAGTGGAAATTAAGTGTAGATTAAGAGGCCAAAAGATGAAAACTTCTTGAAAGCTAGTGTAATTCAGCAAATTTTCTCATAAGTTCATGTGCATGGAATGAATAACATGCATCATAACTATAACTATAGACCTATTACCTGCAGAGTAGAGAAGGTTTGAATAGTGTGACATTTATGAGTCCTGTTGCCATCAGGCTCCCTCTAGTCTTCCCCCCTCCCCTTTCTTTCAATGTGAGTGAGGTGTTGTTGCTGTTGTTATAATGTACTGTTGAGTCCTCTCCGATTCATACTGACCCTATGTAAAACAGAACTGAACACTCCCGGGTCCTGTGCCAGCCTCACGTTTCTTGCCATACCTGAGCCCATTGTTGCCGCTACTGTGTCAATCCATCTCATTGAGGGTCTTTCCCTTTTTTGTTGACCCTTCACTTTACCAAGCATGATATCCTTCTCCAGGGAATGGTCCCTTCTGACAACATGACCAAAGTAGATGAGACAAAGTCTGGCCATTCTCGCTTCCAAGGAGCATCCTGGCTGCACTTCTTCCAGAACAGATTTGTTAGTGCTTTTAGCAGTCCGTGGTACTTTCAGTATTCTTCTCCAATACCACAACTCAGAAGCACAGACTCTTCTTCGGTCTTCCTTATTCATTGTCCAGTTCTCATATGCATATGAGGCAACTGAAAATACCATGGTTGGGTTAGGTGCACCTTAGTCTTCAAGGAGATATCTTTGCTCTTCAACTCTTGAAAGAGGTTTTTTGCAGCAGATTTGCCCAATGCAATTGTCATCTGATGTCTTGACTGCTGCTTCCATTGGTGTTGATTACAAAACCAAGTAATATGAAGTCTTCAATAACTTCAACCTTTTCTCCATTTATCATGATGCTGCTCACTGGTCCAGTTGTGAGGACATTTGTCTTCTTTATATTGAGGTGTAATCCATACTGCAGACTGTAATCTTCAATCTTCATCAGTAAGTGCTTCAAATCATCCTCACTTTCAGCAAGCAAAGTTGTGCCACCTACATATCTCAGGTTGTGAAAGAGTCTTCCTTCAATCCTGATGCCACGTTCTTCTTCACGTAGTCCAGCTTCTCAGATTATTTGCTTAGCATACAAATTGAATAAGTACAGTGAAAGGATACAACCCTGATACATTCCCTTCTTGATTTTAAACCATGAGGACAATCAAGTGTTCTGGAATTCCCATTCTTCTCAATGTTACCCACAATTTGTTATGATCCACACAATCGAATGCTTTTGCATAGTCAATAAAACACAAGTAAACATCTTTCTGGTATTCTTTGCTTTCAGCCAAGATCCATCTGATATCAGCAATGATATCCCTCATTCCACATCCTCTTCTGAATCCAGCTTGAATTTCTGGAAATTCTCTGTCAATATACTGCTGCAACCATTTTTGAATTATCTTCAGCAAGATTTTACTTGCATATGACATTAATTGTTAGATAATTTCCACATTCTGTGGGATCACTTTTCCTTGTAATGGGTACAAATATAGATCTCTTCCAGTCAGTTGGCCAGGTGACTGTCTTCCAAATTTCTTGACATAGCCAAGTAAATGCCTCCAGTGCAGCATACATTTGTTGAAATACCTCAAGGGTTATTCTGTCAATTCCTGGAGCCTTGTTTTTTGCCAATTTCTTCTGTGCAGCTTCAATTTCTTCCTTCAATACCATTGGTTCTTGATCATATGCCAACTCCTGAAATGAACGTCAACCAATTCTTTTTGGTACAGTGACTCTGTGTATTCCTTCCATCTTCTTTTGATGTTTGCTACATCAGTCAATATTTTTCCCATAGAATCTTTCAATATTGCAATTCAAGGCCATATATATATATATATATATATATATATCTTACATATATCTTATAAAACATACATTCCCTAGAGAAGGATATCATGCTTGGTAAAGTGGAGGGTCAATGAAAAAAGGGAAGGCCCTCAACAAGATGGACTGACATAGTGGCTGCAATGATGGGCTCAGGAATAGCAAGGATTGTGAGGCTGGCACAGGACTGTGCAGTGCTTTGTTCTGTTATACACAGGGTCGCTATGAGTCGGAGCCAACTTGATGGCACCTAACAAAAACAAAAACAACATTATCTATATCTAACTAGTTCTGCTTCTCTAGAGAATCTTTACTAAAACACAATTCTTCACAAATACTCTGTTATTTAATTTTAAATGTGTTATTACACAAAATTAAAAATACAGTATATATTAGATTAACTATTATCTAGTTAAATATACTATTCTGAAGTGTTTTTAGAATAATAAAAATTTTGTAATGTTTTTATATCTATTAAAATGTCTCTATGCAAAATGTCTGTATTTAAAAACTACTCTGGTTTTTAAAAATAGTTTTTATTTAAAATAAAAATTTTAAAAATAGCCTGGTTTTTAAAAACTAGTCTGGTTTTTAAATTTTTCATTTTAAAAATGAAAAGTAGATCTTAAGCAATCATTCACTATATCTTTACATTACATTTTCAGTCAAAATAGTGTGAGAATATTCTAATCATAAATATTCTTAAGAACTGTTTTTAAAAATATCTGTCCTTTCAAAATAGGATAAATTTTCAGTGTCAAATTTATAATTAAGAAAGCTGTTTCCCTTCTTAAAAAAATAAATGAAACAACAAGAAAAAATACTTCTTTCTTTTGTTTATATCATCTCACCTTCCTTCAGATCTTCTGCATCACGTATCATGGTCAAGGTTATATTTTCATAGTGAGATTTCCGTCCAACTTTCTTTTCTTTCCATAATTGGCCATTAACTGATAATACCTATCCATAAAAAAAATTATTATGATTTCTAGCCCTCATAAAAATTGAATGAAATCCCTAATACTTAATCATGAGATAAAAACCTTATACTTCAGCCAATGCCTTCTCAAGTATGTCACACAGTCCTTGCTGACCTCAAGCTTTCTCTCAACCATCTCCACCTATTCTAGGGCAGACAGTGTATAAACACATTACACACTTTCAAAGACAGAGATACCATGAAACTGATGAAGCTTAAGGAGTCACATTCACATGGGTTTTTTTCCAAGGGCTCTGGGAGGGAACCTAGCCTTGTGCTCACATGGTTATGTGTTTTTGTATAATTTGCAAAAGGGAAGTATTTTGACCAATCACTAAAGCCTCCGTCTCTTTGTATTGCAATTTCCTTTCTTCTCATTTCCTCTTGGAGAGGGTAGTATTGTAGTAGCTACAGACATTTTGTATTTGTAATTATTTTTCTGAAAAGTGGTCCCCAAAATTGTTAAAGCTTCAGACCCCACAAAACCTGTTTCTACCTTGCCACGTGTGATTCCATTTAATCTTCAAATCAACACTGAGACAGATTTCTTTATTAAGGTAGGACAGAGACACATGGACACTTGCTTTAAACAGTCCTTAAATACCTGTTTCAACGTTTATTTAATGGAGACCAAGTTGTCAACACTAAGGAGTGTTTTTGAATTTCTCATTACAGGGTGCTTCCCATTTAAGCAGTAGCAACACAATTTATAGTTCATAGATTATAAAATGATTCATTTATGGAGATCTAAATTTACAGGCATAATATTTCCATTTATGATATTATTATATTATTAAATAATATTATTTTATATCATTATATAATACTGTTATGATATGTTGTACCATTTTTGTATTGGTATATCTTACGAAATTAAAAGAAGCTATATTGTGTTATATTACATTATAGGACATTGCATTATGATGATAATGATGATACTGTTTTTCCATGTCTTAAAACGTGGCTCTCCCAGCACACCCCCCAGGTACCGTTCTCTTTATCTTACTTTCTGCCAGCTTATAGATGGGTTTTAGAAATATTGTATAAGTTGTATAAGGTCACAAAGCTAATAATTGGCCAAAACAGCAAATTAGATATATCAGATTCCCAAATCAATGCCCTTAACAACTAAGTTAATGTTGCCTCTCATCAGTAAAAACTGGGACAATTTCATAAGTTCACAATTTGAAATAGCAAATTTCTCCTAAGGATGCAATATCTACAAAGACATTTGGAAGGGATTTGTGGCCTCTGGATAATTTCCATACTACCATGATCAATAGTCAATAATACAAAATCAAAAAAAAAATCATTTTTATTTCAGGTCTACAGAATGAAAGAAAGTACCACTGCTCTTCATAAAAATAATACTCTATCTTGCTCAGAAAAATTCTAGCTAAAACTTCACAGTGAAGCAAAAAGTTTAGAGTTTAATATTTGAACAGGTTAGTGCCTAAGGCATTTGACTGCTAACCAGAAGGGTGGTGGTTCAACCCTACCTGATGCTCTGTGGAAGGAAGATGGGGCAATCTACTTCAATCTACTTAAAAAAAAGAAAGAAAAGGCCAGGGGAACTGGAACAGAGTGAGGAGTCAGCTGCAGGGATCCAGGTGAGGAGAGGGAACCCAGGCCACACCCCACAAACAGCAAGGTGGGAAAGTGGGAGAAAAGAGAGGAGAAAGGCCCAGGGGACTGGGACAGAGGGAGGAGTCAGCTGCAGGGATCCAGGTGAGGGGAGGGGCCCCAGGCTACGCTGCAAAGTGGCCAGGGAGGAAAGCAGGGAAAGAACAGAAAAGGAAAGAGGGAACAGGACAGAGAGAGGAGGCAGCCGCAGGCACCCAGGTAAGGGGAGGTTGGAGAGGATTCTAACAAGTAAGGGAGACAAATTTGTCTGCTGGTTTGTCCTACTGTGGTGACATGTTGCTGTGAGTCTTGAGTCTGTGCCACTGGTGTTTCAAACCCAGTGGGGTGCACATGGTGCACAGGTATCAGCCTGGCTTGCAGACTGAGACAGACTAGGAAGAAGGAAGAGGCCATCCACTTCTCAAAGAATTGGCCAGGGAAAACCTTATGAATAGCAGAGAAATACTGTCTGATACATTACTGTGCAACTTTATAAATAGTCTAGAAACACTGTCCAATACAGAGGAGGAGGATGAGTCACTTAGGTTAGAAAGCTCTCAAAATACAGCTGGAAAAGAGCTGCATCATCAGAGTAAACCCAGCCTTACTCATATGGATAAGGTAAAGCTCTCGAAACCTCCATTTGCTGACGTGGCATCACTCAAACTGAGGAGAAACAGCGGCAAACATCCATTAATAATCAGAACATGGAATGTACAAAGTATGAATCTAGGAAAAATGGAAGTTGTCAAAAATGAAAAGGAACACATATAGATTGATATCCTAGGCATTAGTGAGCTGAAATGGACTGGTTTTGGCCATTTGGAATCAGACAACCATATGATCCACTATGCCAGCAATGACAGTTTGAAGAGGAATGGTGTGGCATTCATCATCACAAAGGATGTTTCAAGATCTGTCCTGAAGTACAATGCTGTCAGTGATAGGATAATATCCATGCACCTACAAGGAAGACCTGTTAATATAACTATTATTCAAATTTATGCACCAACCACCAAAGCCAAAGATGAGGAAATTGAAGACTTTTATCAACTTCTGCAGTCTGAAATTGACCGAACATGCAATCAGGATGTGTTAATTATCACTGGTGACTGGAATGTAGAAGTTGGAAACAAAGAAGAATCACCAGTAGTTGGAAAATTTGGCCTTGGTGACAGAAATAATGCTAGAACGACCATGGTAGAATTTTGCAAGACCAATGACTTACTGCAAACACCTTTTTCAACAACACAAACGGCGGCTGTACATGTGGAGTTCACAAGATGGAACACACAGGAATCAGATTGACTACATCTGTGGCAAGAAGCAGTGGAAAAGTTCAATATCTTCAGCCAAAACCAGGCCAGGTGATGACTGTGGAACAGACCATCAACTGCTAATATGCAAGTTCAACTTAAAGTTAAAGACAATTAAAACAAGTCCATGAGAGCCAACATATGATCTTGAATCTATCCCTCCTGAATTTAGAGATGATCCAAAGAATAGATTTGATGCATTGAACACCAATGACTGAAAACCAGAAGAATGTGGGATGACATCAAGATCATCCATGAAGAAAGCAAGAGGTCACTAAAAAGACAAGAAAAGAAGAGAAGGCAAAAATGGATGACAGGAGAGACTCTGAAACTTGCCCTTGAGCAGATAATATCTAAAGCAAATGGAAGAAATGACAAGGTAAAAGAGCTGAACCGATGATTTCAAAGAGCAGCTTGAGCAGACAAAGCCAATTACTATAATGAAATGTGCAAAGACCTGGAGTTAGAAAACTAAAAGGGAACAACATGCTCAGCTTTTCTCAAGCTGAAAGAATTGAGGAAGAAAATTAAGCCTCAAGTTGCAATATTGAAAGACTCTATGGGAAAATATTAAATAATGCAGGAAACATCAAAACAAGATGGAAGGAATATACAGAGTAACTGTACCAAAAAGAACTAATCAATCTTCATCCATTTCAGGAGGTGGCATATGATCAAGAACCAATAATACTGAAGGAGGAAGTCAAAGTTGAAATGAAGGAATTGGCAAAGAACAAGGCTCCAGGAATTGACAGAATACCCATTGAGATATTTCAACAAATGGATGCCCACTGGAGGCACTCACTAGGTTATGCCAAGAGATTTGGAAAACAGCTACCTGGCCAACTGACTGGAAGAGATCCATATTTGTACCCATTGCAAATAAAGATGATCCCACAGAATGTGGAAATTATTGAACAATATTATTAATATCACATGCAAGTAAAATCTTACTGAAGATAATTCAAAAATAGTTGCAGCAGGATATTAACAGAGAGCTTCCAGAAATGGAAGATGAATTCAGAGGAGGATGTGGAATGAGGGATAATATTGCTGATGTCAGATGGATCTTACCTGAAAGCAAAGAATACCAGAAAGATGTTTACTTATCTTTTATTGACTATGCAAAAGCATCCAATTGTGTAAATCATAACAAATTATGAATAACATTGAGAAGAATGGGAAATCCAGAATACTTGATTGTACTCAGGAGGAATCTGTATATAGACCAGAAGGCTGTCATTCGAACAGAACAAGGGGACACTGCATCGTTTAAAATCAGGAAGGGAGTGTATCAGGGTTGTATCCTTTCTGCATACTTATTAAATCTATATTCTGAGCAAATAATCCGGGAAGCTGGACTATATGAAGAAAAACATGGCATCAGGATTGGGAGGAAGAATCATTAACAACCTGAGATATGCTGACAATACAACTTTGCTTGTCAAAAGTGAGGAGGACTTGAAGCACTTACTGATGAAGATTGGAGTATGGATTACATCTCAATATGAAGAAAACAAAAATCCTCACCACTGGATCAATAAGCAGCATCACGATAAAAGATTGAGGTTGTCAAAGAATTCACATTGCTTGGTTCTACAATCAACATCAATGGAAGTAGCAGTCGGGACATTAGACAACGTGTAGCACTGGGCAGGTCAGCAGTGAAGGAACTATTTCAAGTGCTGAGGAGTAAGGATGTCTCCTTGAGAAATAAGGTGCTCCTGACACAAACCATGATATTTTCAATCACCTCGTATGCATGTGAGAGCTGAACAATGAATAAGGAAGACCAAAGAAGAGTTGATGTTTTTGCAGTGCGGTGCTAGCAAAGAATGCTGAAAAGTACCATGGACTGCTAAAAGAATTAATAAATCTGTCCTGGAGGAAGTACAGCTGAAATGCTCCTTGGAAGTGAGAATGGCCAGACTTTGTCTCACCTACTTTGGTCATGTTGTCAGAAGGGTCCATTCCTTGGAGAAGGAGGTCATTCTTGGTAAGGTGGAGGGTCAGCGAAAGAGGGGAAGGCCTTCAACAAGACGGATTGACACAGTGCCTGCGACAATGGGCTTAAGTATGGCAAGGATCATGGAGCTGGTGCAGGATTGGGCGGTGTTTCGTTCTGCTGTGCATGGTGTCGCTATGAGTCGGAAATGACCCAACAGCACCTAACAACAACAACAACAACACTTCAGTAAAGATTTAGCACCTTGGAAACCCAAAGGGCATTACTATGAGTCAGAACTGATTCAATGGCAGAAGGTTTAATGTGTACCTAATAGTATACCACCTCAAACCCCAAGGAGGTGTCGCTGAGTCAGATCCAACTCGACAGCAGTGAGTTTGGTTTCATGCATTTATGTGAACAGACATGTTTATATGTCTATACCTTACTTTATTCTGGGTAGTATTAAAGTAACATGTGTTTGGAAATATTGACAGGGGAACTATCAGCATTCAGCCAAAACTTGAAATTATGAAGAGGATTATATTAGCTAAGAGAATATGGAGTGAAAATTAAGGAAGATAAGGACTGAACACTAAGAAAACCCAATATTTAAAGATGATCAAACCATGATTGTTTTTGTGATAGGGAAGGAGAAAGAAAATCCAGAGAGGCCAAAGAATGAAAAATTGAATAATATCTTGGAAGGTGGTTGTTGTCATTAGGTGCCATCAAGTCATCTCCAATGCACAGCAACCCTATGCACAGTAAAACGAAACATTGCCCAATCCTGTGCCAGCCTCACAATACTTGTTATACCTGAGCCCATCGTTGCAGCCACTGTGTCTATCCATCTCATTGAAGGCCTTTCCCTTCTTCTTTGACCCTCCACATTACCAAGCATAATATCGGTCTCTAGGGCATGCTTCATTCTGGCAACATGAGCAAAGTAGGTGAGACGAAGTCTGGCCAGTATCGCTTACAAGGAGTATTCTGGCTGCACTTCTTCCATGACAGATTTGTTAATCCTTTTAGCAGACCATGGTACTCTTAGCATTCTTCTCCAATACCACTACTCAAAAGTATCAACTCTTCTTTGGTCTTCCTTATTCATTGTCCAGCTCTCACATGCATAAGAGGCGATTGAGAATAGCATGGCTTGAGTTAGGCTCACCTTAGTCTTCAAGGAGACATCTTTGCTCTTCATCACTTGAAAGAGGTCTTTTGCAGCAGATTTGCCTGATGTAATACGTCATCTGATGTCTTGACTGCTGCTTCCATTGGTGTTGATTGCAGAACCAAGTAATAGGAAATCCTTGACAACTTCAATCTTTTCTCTATCTACCATGAAGCTGTTTATTGGACTAGTTGTGAAGATTTTTGTTTTCTTTATATTGAGGTGTAATCCATAATGTACACTATAGTCTTTAATCTTCATCAGTAACTGCTTCAAGTCATCCTCACTTCCAGCAAGCAAAGTTGTGTCATCTGCATATCACAGGTTGTTAATGAGTCTTCCTCCAATCTTGATGCCACGTTCTTCTTCATATAATCCAGCTTCTTGAATTATTTGCTCAGCATACAATTCGAGTAAGTATGCTGAAAGTATACAACATTGACACACTCCCTTCTTGATTTTGAAACATGCAGTATCCTCTTGTTCTGTTCAAATGACAGCCTCCTGATCTATACACAGGTTCCTCATGAGTACAATCAAGTGTTCTGAATTGCCCATTCTTCTCAATGCTATCCATAATTTGTTATGATTCACACAATGGGATGCTTTTGCATAGTCAATAAAAGATAAGTAAACATCTTTCTGGTATTCTTTGCTTTCAGGTAAAATCCGTCTGACATTAGCAATAATATTCCTCATTTCACATCCTCTTCTGAATCCATCTTCCATTTCTGGAAGCTCTCTGTTAATATACTGCTGCAACCATTTTTGAATTATCTTCATAAGATTTTACTTGCATGTGATATTAATGATATTGTTCAATAATTTCCACATTCTGCAGGATCACCTTTATTTGCAGCGGGTACAAATATGGATCTCTTCTAGTCAGCTGGCCAGGTAACTGTTTTCTAAATCTCTTGTGATAACCGAGTGAATGCTTCCAGCACTGCATCTGTTTGTTGAAACATCTCAATGGGTATTTCATCAAGTCCTGGAGTCTTGTTCTTCACCGATTCTTTCAGTACAGCTTCAACTTCTTCCTTCAGTACCATTGGTTCTTGATCATATGCCAGCTCCTGAAATGTTTGAAGATTGTGCAGTTCTTTTTGGTGTAGGGACTCTGTGTTCCTTCCATCTTCTTTTGATGCTTCCTGCATCATTCGATATTTTGCCCATAGAGTCTTTCAATATTGCAACTCAATTGCAATTTTTCCTCAGTTCTTTCATCTTGAGAAATGCTGAGCGTGTTCTTCCCTTTTGGTTTTCTAATTCCATGTCTTTGCACATTTCATTATAGTAACTGGCTTTGTCTTCTCGAACTGCTCTTTGAAATATTCTGTTCAGCTCTTTTACCTTGTCATTTCTTCCATTTGCTTTAGCTGCCCTCCATTCAAGGGCAGGTTTCAAAGTCTCTTCTGACATCCATTTTGGTCTTTTCTTCCTTTCTCATCTTTCATCTTTTTAATGACCTCTTGCTTTCTTCACGGATAATGTTCTTCATGTTATCCCACAATTCCTCTGATTTTCAGTCATTGGTGTTCAATGCATCAAATCTATTCTTTACATGGTCTCTAAATTCAGGAAGGATATTATCAAGGTCATATTTTGGCTCTCATGGATTTGTTTCACTTGTCTTCAACTTCAACTTCAACATGCATATGAGCAGTTGATGGTCTGTTCCACAGTCAGTTCCTGGCCTTATTTTGGACCAAGATATTGAACTTCTTCATTCCTCTTGCCACAGATGTAATCAATCTGATTCCTGCATATTCCATCTGGTGAAGTCCACGTGTATAGTTATCACTTATGTTGTTGAAAAAAGGTATAAGTTGTTGGTCTTGCAAAATTCTATCATGCGATCTCCAGCATTATTTCTATCACCAAGGCCATATTTTCCAACTATCGATAACTCTTTTTTGTTTCCAACTTTTGCATTCCTGTCACCAGTGATAACCAACACATCTTGCTTGCATGTTCAATCAATTTCAGACTGCAGAAGTTAGTAGAAATCTTTGATTTCCTCATCTTTGGCTTTGGTGGTTGGTGCATAGATTTGAATAATAGTAGTATTAACTGGTCTTCCTTGTAGGAGTATGGATATTGTTCTATCACTGACAGCATTTTATTTAAGGACAGATCTTGAAATACTCTTTGTGACAATGAATGCCACACCATTCCTCTTCAATTTGTCATTCTTGGCATAGTAGATCATCTCCTTCAAAATGGCCAAAACTGGTCCATTTCAGCTCACTAATGCCTAGGATATTGATCTTTATGTGTTCCATTTCATTTTTGACAACTTCCAATTTTCCTAGATTCATACTTTGTACATTCCCTGTTCCAATTATTGATGGATGTTTGCATCTGTTTCTATTCATTTGGAGTATTCTTGGAAGGTAAGAGATCAGAAATGTCAAAAAGAGGGAACAAGTAAGAAAAAGGATTTTAAACAAAAGAAAAGTCCCCTGGAGTTAATAATTAGGATGTAATCGGTGTCCTTGACAAGGGCAGTTTTAGTGGTACATACGTCATTGTTCTGCACATGAAGCTGAGTGAGTGAGACAAGGAAGGGAGAAATTAGGGCTGTTTCCTCCATTGCCTCCTCCTAATGGTAGAAGAGAATGATCCTTGTGGAAATACAAGAATGAGAAGTATAGTTTCCCCAGAGCAAATTACAGGCCATAAAAACAAAACAAATGAAGAACTGCTATTTCATACACAACTGATGAAAGATAAAGATATATTATTCAATATCACTTACATAGTAAAACCATTAAAAGAAGCATATTCCTCAGCTGTGAATCCATAAATATCTCTGCAGGATAGGTCCACATCTTGCTGAAGAATAAGACTGACTAAACTTGTTGGTTCTTCACTGAGAGCAATCATGAGCGCTGTTCTGGAGCAAGAGATATAAATAAATGTCAGTTTACAGATTTTAATCAAGTTAATTTTTTACAAGTTAATCTTGTTAATGTAGGCTCTCTATCAGGAAGAACTATGGCGCAAATATGCAAGTGGAGCTTATCTGCTCAAAAAGTGTGCCAATCATAGTCGCAAACATCAAGAGTCCCTAGGAAGCAGGCACCTGAGTGGTTTTCAATCTCTGATCCCTGAAACCCAACCATTTTCAAGGAAATGGCTCAAAATTTTATGGAGGGAAGTGTCTGGGGCTCTGGGGCTCCCAGCTTCACTTAACTACAGTAGCTGTGACTTAGAAATTGGGCTTCTGTGTAAGATGCTAATGTTATAATAATAATAATAATAGTTTATCAACCTGTTCCAACTGTTTTTATTATTTTTCAATTTTTAATTGTGATTTGGGTGAAAGTTTACAGAGCAAATTCACTTTCCATACAGTAGCTCACATATACTTTGTCTCATGACATCGACTATAATTTCCTACAATGCAACAGCTCCCCTCCCACTTCCTCCCCATAATTACCTCTTCTCTGTGTCTCTCCCTCCCCCACACTCCTGCCCCTCAAGCTGTCTCCCTGTGCACACACAGCCCTTCTCTTCTCCTATGATTGATTTCTCCAGGGAGTGTATCTACCTGATGTAAATGTTCAGCTATGCCTGTCTTTTGTTTGACTGGACACCACAGGAGTGGGTTCAATTCCAGACTCGAAGGGCAGCTAGGGGCCATAGTCTCAGTGGTTCTATCAGACTTGATCAGACCAGCAACCCAACTGTTTAATTTTACAGATAGAAAAACACACACACAGATTGTTTTTCCCAATTGGGGGCAGGGGCAACGAGAGAGAATGAGACAGCGAGCAAGTGAGCAAGTGAGCTCTGGTGGTGCAGTGCCTAAGGCATTTGACTACTGACCAGAAAGTTGGCAGTTCACACAGACTAGCCACTCCTCAGAAGGAAGAGAGAGCAATATACTTGCATAAGGATTTTCCTGCCTGGGAAACCCCATGGGGGTCACTATTAGTCGGAATGGACATTAAGTGCTCTGTATATTCTTAACCCCTTAGGTCCCTATAGTTCTTGCCACTCACTTAGTTTCGTTAATTGTACCTTTGAGAGTTATCTGAAGCATTCACATCTGCCCCTTTCTTCAGAAGAAATTCTACCATTTTTGCATTATCTTCAATAACAGCAAGTAAAAGTGGAGTATATCCATCCTGAAAAATTATTTCAAAGTGATCATATAAAATATTGTACCAATATCATATGTATTTTAGATTTAATTTAATTTAAAAAAATTTTTAATAATTGTGCTTATAAGAAACCTCTGAATATATACTTGAATTTTTTAAAGATTTTGATGCAAAACTCAAGAAAACAAATTAAACTTGGGCCAGTCACAAAATGAAATCAAAGTCTGTACATTCTTAGCCTCGATTAAAATTGTGTGCAGAAGCAATCTGGAGGACTTAAGTGATGAACATGTCACATTTAATGTAAATATTACACACTATCAATTTGCTTCATTATGTTGTCACAATTAGGTTTCAACAGCATTTCATTCAAACCTCCTACATTTAAATGTTTTTATGTTGTTATGTAGGCAAAATGTCACTGAATTAAAGTGTTACGATACGGAGAAATAAAAAAGTATTTATCAATACCTCATAATGTATCAATAGGGAAATTGGATCATGCACTATAAGTGATGTTCTAATTCAATTATTTTTATCATTATTCATGACTATATAAATAAAAGAGAAAAAAGTGAGGTTTATGATTTTTATCATTACCCATGTATAAGGCATTCAAATATTTCACATGTGATACAATAGTTTAGACAGATATCATGTTAACAATGATGTTACTTTGGAAATTCCAATTACAATCCAAAATGAAATGAAGAGAACTTTCAAAAAGGAAAAATCAATTATCGGTTTCTGATAGTCTCATTCTCTTTCTCTTCCTCTTAATTGTTTTTATTCTTTACATAGCCTGTATTCCAACAGATATTAATTATTTTCAATAAATATCTTCTTCGGTTGCTTTCTAAAACATAAGTTTTCTAAAGTATAGAAATAGAAGACTACCGTATTTTGTGCTTCAAGATTAGCTTTGTGTTCAAGCAGTTTTTCTACTAATGAAATACTTTGACCACAGACAGCATAATGAAGAGCGGTATTGCGGTCAGAATCTACGAGATTGGGGTCTGCATCATGGTGTAGAAGAAGAGTAGCACAGTTCTCCTTCTGACACTGTACTGCCTGTCAACACAAAAGTCCATGAGTAAGCAACTTAGTACAAGTGATATGATGTGTTAAATTAATGTTTAATATGATGTTGTAAAGTATGAAAATCTATAAACAGTAACTAGGGAAGAACTCAAACACATTCTCTCTCTATATATATATGTTGTTGCTGTTGTTACGTGCCGTCGAGTCAGCCCTGACTCATAGCGACCCCTCCTTGGGTTTCTGAGGCAGTATCACTACGGAAGTAGGATTGCCCAACCTTCC